GAAGAATTTATTATGAAAAATATCATTTCAGTCGGGATTCGAATCTCCCTCGAATACGATTCTCTTCACTTATTGAATCTTTTTCGGTCCATTTCCATTTAATAGTATATATTCTTTATGTTACATCTGCAAAGAAATTATTATTATTAAAATAAACTTATTCATTCTTTTTTATACGAATTAAATCATTTTATTTCTTTGAAATTAATTAGTGCCTTTTAATCAACACAAATTAAATGGATTTCAATCTAACGTTAGTAACCGTGTTTTGACGTCAACTCCAGAAGATTAAAGACACGTGCGTCTGCAACACATTTCGTTACGCAAACGGCTTGATTCGCCAAAAAAAAAAAAAAATCCTTCGGCTTCAATTGCCCGTACCTCGAGGGTTATTAATGGTCGACTAGCTTCATCAAAGAAAAATCGATAACACCAAGTTATCTAGAAATGAATCTGTAGACTTTGAACTCGTGGACAGGAGAAAAACACAAGCCGTGTACAAAGCCAGCCATTATTTGTATCGCTCGCATTAATATTTCATCTTTCTAAAATGCAACTCGTGCGCTTTCTAAGCAACGCCCTTAATCTTGCCATCTATAATCCGTGTACGCTCGTAGTATCAGGAGCATTATTTTCAAGGCACAGGCACGCCCGCGCGTGGTCGAGCGGAGATATAAATAAACGATCGCTTAATAGCGCTGGCACGGTGCCCGGTAAACAATTTCGATGCGGTGGTGATCTGTGGTGTGGTTTCGCGATATTAGCGGTACGTTTCGTTATTCCCGTTTCGCGGGATGGGCCGGGAAAGGGTGCATTACGCGAGCGAAGCTTACGGTAGAGTTTCACGGAAGTTCACCCGCAGGGTCTCCCTGGGGTCGTTCACCTATACGAATGAAGAGCGAATCCGTTTGGTTAAGACGATTTTTCATTTTCTGGTTAACTTAGTAGTTAGACTTAACCTGATGATAATGTAAAAATTGTAATATATCTTTTTGGAATAAGTTCTTTACTGATATTTCTAATTTAATTTAATTCAGGATTGTTAATGTTTCAGATTAATTGTGCTGAAAGTCCGGAAGTTATTCCGCATTGCACGCAGTCGTGTCTGAAATCGTGAATAAATTTATTTAATAAATGCATAATGTAATGTTTGAAATATCTAATTTGATTGTAATTGGCTGTTTTATATTATGGTAAAAATTGTATTTTTCTAGCTATGGTTAAGCACTAAATTGATGCTTTTGTAGTAAATAACTTTTAAAGTTACTATTAGAAAACTATTTAGTGATTAATAGTTAAAAAAAAACACAATTTTTATATTATTAACATCAAGTTAAATGCAGTTAAGTCTATCAAAAGTTAACCAGAAAACGAAAAATTGAGCATAACGCTCATTTCTATGTAGTTTAATTTTAATCTTGGTTCAATTAATTTGATCTTTTTCTAGTTCTAAGAATTAAAAAAGGATGAAGAATAAATTGAATTGAGATTAAAGTTAATTTATAACAAATTAAATAAAAATTCTAAACGGTCAAGCTGGATCTTTAGTGTTTAAATAATTCCGCGTGAATTTATGTACTCATATCTAATTTCTGCAAATTGTGCGAATTTAATTTTCATTTAAAGTCAAAACTGGACATGTATTTGAAATACTTTTATTTCAAAAACAATATTTGTAAGACAATTATATTTTGTATTTTCGATGGGAGCTTATAAAAACATTTTGTATTTCAAACACTGACAATCAATCTTACTTTTGAATTAAAAAAATCCAAAAACCTTTTAATCGTTCCATTTTAAATACAACATACAAAATACAAATACTTTCTTGTGCTCCGCTGAAATACAAAATACTTGTATTGCAAATACTGTGTTTGAAATAGAAGTATTTCAAATACATACCTAGCTCTGTTTAAAGTTAATCTATATTGGTAGAAGCGGGCATTACAAAGAGAAGTTTCAGCGAAGAGCAACGTAAATGCGAGTGATTGCACGCAACTGGCTGTACCGCATACGAATCGTGTCGCACCTGGCTGCGGTATTATATCGAGCCAGTATCTAGGATCCCTGCCCTTTCCAACCCTCTGTCCATTGTCCCGTTCCTTTCCCCTCTGGAGAACCGGAATTCTCTCACGCATCTCGCCGTGGCGACGGAGAAACTGGCTGTCTTTCCGTTTTATTATCTCGTACGTCAGAGCGAGATACTTCTGTCGCGACGTTTCGCGAGAAGGTATTGTCGTGAAGTTACTTGCGGCTTGTAAGAAGTTATCGCGGATATATACCGCGAGTACTTCATTCTTGCTAAGACGATTTCAACAACGTCTTCGTTGAAGTGAGAATGTCGTAACTTTTATTCAAATAACCATTTTCTCTTCCAGCCGAAAGAAACGACGAGTTCCTTTACACTGAGTATTCGCAATCTAAACTTTTCATAATTAAATATTGAAATAGTTCAAAGATACTTAAGATATAAAGATTAATTATACAAGTACAATCGCTCATTTCTTTCTCCCATGAAAGAAAATATGTATCTAAAATAATTACAAATTTAATTAATACATTTTAATTTCAGCTATGGATTGTATAATAAATGTATAATTGTATAACAAATGTTTCAGGGCATGTATACGTTTGTTTTGACGAAGTCTGCGGGCTCGATTCTCGAGTGGCCTCGATTAAGTGCCTCATGTAGGCGCGTCCCTGAAATACGCGCTCAGAGCGTGAAACCGGTTCCATATGGTGAGTAATTTCACAATATACCTAACATAGTTTGTACGAAAATAAGACTTATGTTAGAAAGAAATGGATTCCCAATTCCCATTGGGGTTGAAAGGAAAATAAAAATACTTTCCATATTTGAAGACACTTGCTAAAAAATTATACTATTTATATTTCCAATTATATCTATACAGAAAAAATTTATATACACATACATACGTTATATATTTCATACATTCTATAAATTGTTCCTGTTAGAAAATTCTCTAAGTGCTAATAATCGATAACGTTTTAATTAGTTACAGACACTATTTTAAGAGTACATTTACAAAGTACAAAGGAAGCTTGTAAAATATATTTCTCCCCGCACAGAAAAAAATTAACAGCATTAATTAAACTGGAAATAATCTTGTTGATTCAGTACGTTCTCCCACAGAAGTTGTAGAAATTTATAGCTGCAATGTTTGCAATGGCTGCGTTCAACAGAAAAAGCAGCTTTGCAACTGTTGTAAAATTCTTGAACATGATTGATATATTTGATATACATTTAGACTCAGTGAGGAGCTATAAAAGGCAAGACCAATCATATTAAAGAATTTCAACAATAGTTGCAAAGCTGCTTTCTTTGCTGAATGCAGTCAATATTATTGCTAGAATGCAATAATGTTGTTGTAATATTGTTGGAATGATTAGTGCTTTATGCCACAAAATTTTGATCCACAAAGTTTATGGATTATGCTCTTGTTTTAATAAAACAAGTATTTGTATATTTGTTTCACAAACGTCAAAATTTTACTGATTAATGCAGTGTGATTAATGCAGAGTAACTTTAATCTCGGTTTAACTTTTATCTTTTAAACATTAGAAAAAGAGTAAGTTGAACTGAAAGTTAATTTACATTGATAGAATTGAACATAATATTGTTATTGAATAAGGCTACTTCCAATTCGATCTATCATTAATACAAAATTATTTTTTTTCTATGAATATATAGTGTTAAAAAATTTGTTTCTTTTAACGTCATCTAGTTTTCATTATTTGACTTTCTTTGCGCGAAGTTTTCGATTTTAATTTCTATGAAATGAAATGGGATGGGAGTCTCTTAAGGAGATCGTAAGAGCATAAAACATATGTATTAATGTTTACACTTTAAACAAACTGCATACATATGTGAAAGTGTTGTGTTCATAACATTCTATTTTTATTGAATAACAAATTTTTATAGATTATTTATTTTATTTCATATTAGTTATTTCATATTGTTATAAACAAAAATTTTAAAATTTTAATAACAAAAATCTAAATTTTAAAAATAAATATTTTAAATAGTATTAAAAAATGACTTGCAAAGTTTCATTGAAATTCACCAATTAGTTTATAACAGATAAATATTTTGTTTATTTACTGAACAATTAATCAAACAATTAGTCTGCATCTCAATGTAACTTTACATATTCATAATTGAATTCATAAAGTACTTATACAAAAAAAATTGAGATTTTTATCATTATTTTATATATTATTTTAATTTTCTATTAGAGTACAAATTTAAAAACTATTATTTTTTATTGAAATAACTTTTGATCCAGATGGTCAACTGTCTAATTTTTTTATATTACTTTTAAATGCAGTTTAAACTAATCTGTAATCTTTTCAAGTAATTCTTAACATATTGCATTTGCCTTACAATCTCCTTAAACACAGTTTGATATGGACTGATAAGAAAAAGATGACAAAGTTGAAAGTTTCTAAAAAATCGAAATAAAAGGAGTACATGCTCTTGCGTCAGAAACTCTGGCCATCCATTTGGATCATATATAAACAAATAACACTATCCTAAACAGTTAAATTTCTAATGTCAAATTACACTTAATTTGAGTTACTTTCAATTATTTCTATATATTAGGTGTTGGAATTAATTCGTAGCGTTTTTTAATGAAAGAATGTTATTTATTTCACATGAGCATTAAAAAATACATTAATGAAAGTACTTCCCATCACTTGTAAAACGCTACGAATTAATTCCAACACCTAATATATCGTTAATTACTCCTATTCAATATATCATTAATTTAATTAAAATAATGAAATGAAACAATTTAATTTAATTCAAAGAAATGTATTAAATTTGACTCAATGAATCTATTATTTACTAAATGCACACGTCAATATGGATAATGTTTATTTCAAAATTAACCCTAAAAATGGATTGATTTTGACACATAGAAGGTAAAAATAATAAAATTCATTGAACTCAAAGAATTGGGTTACCATTGCTCCTTTAATATCTAAGTACAGTTAATACAAGTTTGGGCACCTCGTCTTCGGATCCTTATAAAGGATCCTTCTCGACACCTCTCGTTCCCCTTTTCGATCACGCTCCTGAGTGTGCGTGGCCGCGGTGCGCGACGGTTCTTTGACTCGGTGCCGGGAGTCAGTCAACCCGGTGACGGCTTGCAGGCTGCGTGTTGCTGGTTTCTGCCAAGCGTGGTCCTCGGTGCTCACGAGTTTGAGCCAAGACGACGCGTGCGTCTCGCGTGTGTATATATACGTGTGTAAAACCGTCAGATATCAACGTGCGTGGAGTTGCATATTGTACCCGAGCCAACGATCTACCAGCGGGATCAACGATCGAGTCTCGGTGATTTCAACGTCGGGATCGCCGTCACACGTGAGAGAAAACGCGTCGAACGCGGACCCCGGGCGCTTCTTCCGAAAAAATGCAAAAAGCCCGCGATGCGCGCGGTCGACAGGTGACACGTTTTCGTTGAAACGTGGAAGAGATTACAGTCCGCCCGTTGTACCGTAAAGTGCACTCTGTTTTACGATGCATCGTCAACGAGCGCATCGGTGAGCGGACCGAGGGATTTCTGTCGGCGCGATCGATACGGATCCGTCGCGCGTGTTTCCGCGCGCGATTGTGGGATTCAGATTGCGAGTCTACTTGCGGTGTACTTAACGATGAAACTAGGAAGCACGTGCGATCTAGAGCACTCTGAGCCGAGATAGATCTAAATATAATCGACAGTTGAGTTTTTCCTTTGGCCTGCTTGGAAGTCTTTCTAATTCGTTCCACGTCGACTGAAAGCAAAGGCTCGCCAATTCATGTTCCACTAAAATCCTTTTGAAGAACATCTATAGGACTCAACTCTTTTGTTGTGTTCGATTATTTTTTACAACCTTTTTTGTAGGTTACAACGCGACCCTTTGAAAGCATCAACAGTTTACGAGAATCGCTTTCCGATAGACCTTTTTTCGAAGAAGCCTTCGAGTGTTTTTCTCAAGCAAATCTCGGAGTATTCCGTGAGAAAATTCCAGAATATTCGTGCAACGAACTTCGAATACCTCCGTAAATCGCTCCGCGTTTTAGAATAACGCAAAGTGTGCGTCCGGTCGCGACGGTGAAAGGAGATCAACGGTGACCTTCGACTGCATCGCCACGTTGTGTCCGGCATCCTGAAGGAATCCTGCAGACCCGAACGAGGCGATCGAGCGAGCTGCCGCGGCTCGAGAAGATCCACGAGGAACAGCTCACGGATACCAGGACGATCGGCAGACGACGTACCGCCGGTGCATCTGCGATGGAGGACGAGTTGCGGTGTCCCTCCTGCAAGGAGTTGTTCGTGGAGCCGGTGCTGTTGCCTTGCTGGCACGCACTATGCCTCGCCTGCGCGGTAAATCTCCAGGCACCGCCGGATTCGCCGCCGGAGTCCACCGCCGATTCGTCCAACGCACCAGGCTCCGATCAGGAGGCCGACAAGTTGTCGATCTTGTCGGAGACCGACTCCGGAGTGGTTTGCAGCAGCACGTCTACCAGCTCGCGGCCAGGCAGCTACGTCGGCACTCCAGGGAACGGTGGCTTCCCACCGTCCGGTGGTACTCTCTGCCTGTCATGCCCGGTCTGTCAGAAGACCGTATATTTTGACGAGGGCGGCGCCCATAATCTGCCCAAGTACCGTGCGATGCAGCACATCGTCGACAAGTACCAGGAATCGCGGAATTCACGGCTGCAGTGCCAAATGTGCGAGGGAGAGCCGCGCGACGCGACTGTCGCGTGCGAGCAGTGCGAGGTTAGCACTTGAATTCTGATTGTAGAACCGGGCATATGGTCGGGATTGATAAACGAGGGTGCGAGGAACACATATGTAAAGCGAAACAGCAGGTTGTCGTACCGCATGCGTGATTTTCCCTGAAACGCGTCTGATTACCTAGGGATTAAGGATTAGAGATTTGATGATTAAATGGAGGAGAATGAAAGGCTTTATTATTATAATAATAAAGCAATGACAAGGCGCATAAAAGCGACGAATTTTTGATTAGCTATTCGAGTTAGGACGGAGAAGCAATTGGGGAATTGTAACATTAATATTGATTGAATTCTTTGTATGTGAACGCCACCGCATACTTATGTACATTTGTTTAATCGGAATAGGGAACTTTTTACAGGAATAGCAGGATAAAGTTCTAATCAAATTCTATTAAAGCTGCTTGTTGCAACATCATTATTATTCTTTTTCTGCTTTTTTAATGTGCTGCTTTTTCATCAGATATTTTATATTAGTTGACTATTGATACAAACTATTATTATCTTTTATTGATTTAGTTTTTACTTATAACTTTATTTAATAGGTTTTTAACTTCTAACATATTAGGTGTTGGAATTAATTCGTAGCGTTTTACAAGTGATGGGAAGTACTTTCATTAATGTATTTTTTAATGCTCATGTGAAATAAATAACATTCTTTCATTAAAAAACGCTACGAATTAATTCCAACACCTAATATAATAAATATCATAATAACATATCCCATAATCAGACTATTTAAAACAAATTAAGAAAAGAAGCGCTAAATACAATTTAGATCTTGTGCCTAATAATATTATACATTTTTCACTACTTCCAATATTTTCGTCAAATGTTCTTATAGAAATATTATTAGATACTAAGATAGCCTTGATCGCATTTGATGTTTCTTTACTTTATTCATATAAGCAGTTTAATTTAACTTATTAAGTATTTTGATTTATTTATAATCACGTCAAAAACAAAAATTTTGTCATATTTATTTTATTTTATTTTGATTGATAAAGAAACTATATAACAGCATGTTGTAATTACGGATTATTATTATAATTCAATTTTTGGGAAATTTTGAAGAAGATATTTTGTGTAGTTAAAGAACTGAATTTTTCTTGTAGCGAATTCTGTTAGCACTTCAAAGTTAAGCAGTTCGTAGAAGTTTTACAAGTTTTTATTGCTAAATTAAGAGAGTGCTAATAACTAATAAATAATAGTTTGCTATATAAATGCATAATTGATTTATGAAAAGGACACAATAATTTTAGCTTCTGGTAATCAATCCTTTTCTTTGTTTCTTGTTTTCACGTTTCGACGAGTTTTATCTACTTGTAATTCTAGGAATACACGTGTAATAGAAGTGTATGTACTCTCGGATCAAACAGAAGATCACAAAGTGTAATAACCGTGCGAGCTTTTCATTATTTTCATTTTTGGCTCTATAGAAAGCTTTTCTGTCTTTAGTGAGAAAAGAAAAAGTCTAAGACACTCATCGACTTTGTTAAAAACTATACACAAGAATAAATAGGGTATTATTAAAATTTTGAAAATTAATATTTTTAATTAAAATCTTAATAAAAGTTAAATTTATTAAATGTGTAAGGAAAGAGCAAATTATATACCGTCAGGGCTAGACCTTAGTGCTTAATAATATTTTTATATGCAAATTCTAAATACATGCTCTTTCAGTTATATAAACTGCGCGCCGTTTACTGTCGGACTTGTAATCATAAACTGAAGCTGAAATAATATACTGTTAGATATCACAGAAGCAATAGTGACTCTTGAGTTAAATAACATTTTGTTATGTTTAACTTATATGTATGTTAAAATATAAATCATTCCATTTCTGTGATTAGTTTCAAAGTAATTAGCAATGTTCATATATGCATTTAGTAAATAATAAACTAAACTTGAATCGAATTTAATACACTTTTGAATTATTTAATTTATTGTTTTAGTTGAATTAACGATACATTGAGTATGATCGACTTATAGAAATGATGAGAAAATAACTCGTTATTATAATAACATTATGAATTTAACAGTGTATCATAATTAAATTGATGATCCGGTCGATTTGATAATACTATACTGGTATAAAAATCTATAAAAAAAACTTATTGCAAAAAATAGAAAAAAAAATTTAAAATGATGAAAAAAATGAAAAGTATTTTGTGTATTTTTATCATGGCGTGCGATAGTTATTGTGCTTATCTAGCATATTTTATCTCGTTGGAATATAAAACATGCTTTTGCCGAATGCGATGTTATTTTTACCAAAGGATAATGTCTAATATGTCTCTTGTCATTTTCACTTTTCGATATCTCTAGCCTGGCGCTGATTCGATCATTCCCTAGGAAAACTTCTGCCGCGTCGTAAGATCCGCAACGGCAAAAGTTTCCCAAGGCTACTATTCTTAACGACCGCGGCATCAGTCGTGTTTATTTCTCTTGTGTGCTTTCCTCATCCAGAGGCTCGTTAACTCCCCCTCGTTCTTCCTCGAAGTCCACTTCATAACTTTTCTCTTCGTGGTATAAGCGCACTAGAGTCGCTCTTGGCTACAAGAGCTGCCGTCTATATCTTTATCGACATTAATATCGGGTATCGTGGGTGTGTCTTCTGAACGACAGAAATTTCGCTGGTCGAAATTTCAAGTATGAGGGACAAATCTTGTACGAAAGGCACGGCGAATTTATTCACTTAATTTTCGTAACTAAACGAATGTTCTCGGTTAATTTCAACAGTCGAACCGACGTGTCAAACATTATTTTTGTTGTTTATGAGAACAGATATTTCTATCTCGCTTTTAGTTTCTCCTGGATATAAAATACAACGTTGTTTTGAATATACTGCTCTGATTTGTCGAATGTAAAATATAAACGCGCTCTTAATGCACTGTCAGATATCAAAGGAATAATGTAAATCCAATCTCTTGAGAGATTGGATTAAATAACATTTTGTTACTTTTAACTTCCATATGTGTAAATCAATCCGTTTCTGGGGTTAGTTTTAAAATAAATAACTTCCATTATATTAACGTATGGACTTATTATTAGTAAATAATAAACTAAATTTTAGTCAAATTACATTTTGAATTAAATTATATAACTATTGTTTTAATTAAACTAATGACATATTGAGTGGGAGTAATGGCGATTTATAGAATCGATTAAAAATAATTCAAATTGTGGGTATAATTTGACATTACGAATTTAATAGGAAAAAACAATTTTATTGAAGTATGTATTTAAAAATTTAGTTAGATAGATTTTTTAGAAATTTAAATACAATTTTGAAAATTTTATTGAATCATCAAAATATTGTATAAAATGTTTAAGTATTGATGCCAATGCTATAAAAAGTTTTAACATTCTAACAATTAGTTTAAGTCTCCTGCATAATTTTTGTGGTCCAAACAAAATTTTTCAGATTTATACCTAACAAATTTTAGATACTTTAACAAAACTATTCTTTCTATGAATATATATCTAAATTACATTTAAATATCTCATAATTTATTCTTTAAGATAATTTCTTTTGTAAAACCTGAAAATTATATGTATCTTCGATTTTGAAAATTTCTTTAAAAAAATGATAACTTTGATCTATCTCTTTAAAAACTATATTTTTATCATAATATAATATAATTAAACAAATTTTTCTTAATTTTGAGTAACATAGGAAATGATATTTTCTCGACAATTGTCAGTTCCGGCTCGCACAACACTTGTTTGCACAATGTATTCACGCAAATCGTCGCCACGTTGCATTCACATTGTGACAAAGAGAGCGATTTTATATTGTTCGGCGTTCTGTTTGAAAAGATCGAGTTACCGCGCTTCGGAGTGTCGCGTCGCATGAAATATCTCGTTGCGCGACAACGTTGTACGCCAATCGCGCATCCTCGTCTCGCCTCCTCTCTTGCTCGCTTTCCTCCAAAGTGTTAAATTTCATTTTCGGCCCTCTCGTGGTGGTCTCTCGGGTATACCGCGTTCCGAGACAAGTGGCGGATATTTTTTCTGTGATTTTACACTCGCGTCCGTCGCGCCGGTCGTTCCTAGGTACCTACGTGGAAAAAAAAAAAGAGAGAATCGATGGCGCCTGCAATTTCATTCGTTACCGGCAACATTTCCGCGCGACGACAATACCTCGGCTATCGATAATCGAAATGATATTATTTTCGAGAAGAAAATACCTAACGGAATGAGGAATATTTGATAACGCCGAACAATATCGTAAAAATTGCTTCTAAAAAAAAAAATATTCACGAAATTAATGTTTATTGGCAGGTTTAGTTTATACTCACTTTAGTATAAATTCGATAAAATATATTTGATACTTGACGTAAATAAGAAAATTTTATCGACATATGTATATCTACGCATTTATTATTCAATAAAAAAATATAGTAAAAAAAAACGGAGGGAAAAAATTTTGAACGCTGCAGAAACTTTATCGGTATTTTTTATAGCGACAATTTTTTTCTCTAGACATCCATTAGGTATTCTAAATATTGATGTGTGTTTGTAAGTGAATATCGTGCGTTTTCTCTCTCGTATTTTTAACATTTCTCTGTATTTTGCAAATTCGACATTTGGCGATTCTTCTTTCAGGTTTTGTACTGCGACGCCTGCAGAGAGTCCTGTCATCCGAAGAGGGGCCCATTGGCAGCCCACAATCTGGGACCACCGAGAGGCAGCTGGCAATCAAGTGGAAGTAAGGGATCTCGAACCGAGGGCACGCCGATCTGCAACGATCACAATGGCGAAGCGGTGACTCTCTATTGCGCCCTTTGCAAAATCGCGATATGCGCTCTATGTCTTCGTGATCGTCACGCCGCACATCCTCACGATGTTCTGCCGTTGGCCGCTGCTTGCAAAGCGCAAAAGGTAAGTGAATGATCTTGAACGTTAGATCAAACGTTAGATCAAAAGACAATTTAAAATATGCACTGAGAGAAAAATTTATTAGCGCTTGTGATTATAAAATAAATATTTATTTAGTATTATTGAAAAAAATTGTATTAAGATTTAGTACATAAATTTTTTTCTCAATGTACCAAGAACTTTTTTCTTACGCTCTTTTCCGCCAATGTAGATTAACTTTAATCTCAGTTCAACTTACTCATCATTTTTTCTAATTCTTATAATCAAGATTATGGTTAATCTACATTGGTAGAATTCTGATGTGAAGATTAGATATACACACAAAAGTAAGAAAAAGAATTGCAAGAAAGGTAGGATACAAAGATCAGGTAATTTGGATTACCGTCACATCCTCAATCAACAATCGTGCTTTGCAATAGGCGACAGTATTGGAATCGAAACCTCAAGCGATTAATGCTGGATATCGTGTCCAGGTGGTTGCACGGGGGATAGTAGGAGCCAGGGGAATACAGATTTTATATATACTGAAGAATGATGCTGCACTGAAATACGTGGCGCGATAATATATGTATATTTGATGATGAACTCCGATGCGTAATTTATGTGCCTAGCTGCATGGGCAAAATCCGAAAATAATGGATGATGCGGTGCCAAGCCGTTAACACGACCAATAATTGAGTTTCAATCTACTCACTCATACGTATAGTGTACGCACTTCGATGCGCTTGAAATCATAGTTTTGTGTCGAGCTTCCGTTGTTCTATCGCATTTTGCATGCCGCGGGATCTCACGTTTCTATGTGCGAGTCATTAGCGGAATCGACGATGAAAAATACATTGCCGTTCTGCTAATCAATCATACGTTTTGCGCGCATTGCCCCCCCCCCCCCTCTCTCTCTCTCTCTCTCTCTCTCTCATACTCACATCAAAATTGGAGTGCAAATGCAACTAAACGGGCGTAAAATATACCACGTAATTGATCATAATTAGATGTTCATATAATTGCGCGGATGATTAGACATTATCTCGCATAATTGAAGTAGTTAAATTTTCAAACTTTGCGTATGGAATTATTATTGTATATACTATACTGCACTGAGAGAAAGGAATAGTTGCAATTATTATAATTTAATTATTATTTATAAATTCTTGAGACTATAGTTATTTTAACCATGCAAATATAGTCAATTTTGCTATTAATAATAGTTTCACACTGCTTAAAAATCTTTAATTTTTTCTTAACATATTTCTTAGTTATTATTGCCATATAAATACTAAGTGGATTTAGGGAATTAGTTATACTCATAATGATTAGAGTTACATTTATTAAATAAATTTTTATTTTATTTACAATTTATATCTTGATATATCACTATATTAATATTTAAAATTATCAACAATTTATTGTACAATTTTCTTATTTAAGACTATCATATATGGTATCATTATTATTACATTATTAACAGCAGTAATAATCATAAATATGAAGCTTGTTCTAATCATATAATAATTATTTTACCAAACAATTATAGTCACAAATACCAAACACTATTTTCTCAATATAGATACGTAATCTCTCGATTATATACTCAATATGAGTATATAATCTCTAATCTGCTTTACCTCGCCATTGTTATCGTTCGCGATATCGTTAGTAAGAATACATCCACTTTATCGGAACCGTATTTCATAAGGCCACAATAGATACGACTCCCAACGACGTATTAACGCAGTACTATCGCACTTTTCATACTTCAAAGCGCCACCGAGCGTTATCGTGTCTCCGTTGTCGTCGCCGCGAGATAACACCCGCGCAAATTGCGTACCGACGGCGAAATTGCAGTGGCAACTGGCAAGGGCGATGGTCTCGCGACGATATATCGCCTTTGAACGCGCTCTCGTCTGCATTCTCCCTGGGAATGCAACGGACAGTGCAGCGCAACGACACGATATTCGGGATACGTTCGCGATCGACAGCTGGTTTCGATATCGCGTGTCCCTGTTGTACCACCCCCTTTTCCGTGTGTTACACACGTTGCCACCATTGCGTTTCGCCTCTCCAGGCCGGTCAGTCTGGACGCCGACACCTGGTCACTTCCTGACATATGGAACTCGCTCGCTCGCCACGTTGGTCTCCATCATCCGCCGGGAATCACTTCCTCCACGATTAATCTGATAAATTGCCCGCACGGCCCAGTCAAAACCGCCTGACTCCAGCAATTCCGTAATTGATTGCCGTCGGACAGGCGCGTGGACGTTCGCTTTTGTTTGCACTCGCCACCCATTGTATCTCGAGACGACCTGATGTATGTATGTGTGATCGACCTCTGTGTTAAAGATCGATAGAGTTCGCACGCTGTCAAGAAAATTGCCGTGTTACGATGCTCTAATCATTGTCATCCGGCTGTGGCGTACGCTAATCGCTTCTGGTGAGTCGATCGAGGTTGGTTCAATGAGAACGAAGAATCGCTTCGAGGTTTCATGTTCATCTTGTATGCATTCTGTTTACGGAATTTAATATCATATTTCAGTAACTATTAACCAAGCTTTAAATCAAGCTTGGGTAATAAGAAATCGATATTTGGAAGCTGCAAAAGTTATATCAAATTATGTTGTGGCTACTGATCATGAGAATTAAGATAACTGATTGATATTAAGGAAGCCCGTTTCTGCCAATGTAGATTGACTAATTTAGGCTCGTTTAATTTACTCTTTATCTTTTTCTAATTCTTAGAACTTGAAAAAGATAAGCAATAAGTTGAGTTAAAATTAAAGCTGATTTACATTGGTATAGAAATAGACAATTCTCCCTCTGTTGTGTCAATCTTTGGTTGGCAGCAGACGAGAGTAAAGACCATGGCACACACAAAATTTAAGCAGTAAGAAATAAGCAGTGAGTAAATCAATATTTTGGATTTGCTTACATTATTGTCTCGTGGTCTCTACTGTGATAACTTTAACCATCTACATGGAAATAATATATACAGTAAGCTGTAAACCAAGTAATCAACAATTATAGTCAAATATGAGAAAAATAATCAATTATGATTGATCATTTTCTTATGATTTACTGTACAATATTACTCGCATTGTAGACGATCTTTTAAAACCTAACACACAAAAGAATTTAAATAGTAAGACTTAAACAGTAAACAAATCAATTTGGATTTGCAATTGTTCATATTGTTGCTTTAGAGTTATGATATATTTATGCAAAAAAACGTGAGACAATAACGTAAACAGTACTAATAAAAAAATATTAATTTATTTACTGCACTGAAAAAGAAGATTGGCTGCTGCAGCAAATTAGATGGTAAAATATGGCATAGCAGTTTTAATTAGTTGCAGCAACCAATTTTTGGTTCCGTTAACCTATGTTAGTATAGGATTTCGTTAGGCTAACGCAACTAAAAAATTGGCTGCTGCAACCAATTAAAAATACTATGCTATATTCAGTCAATCTTTTCTTTCAATGTATTTATTTCTTAATACTAAAGTACAGACTTTTGCATAACGCATAGTGCATGAACGAAATCAATCAATCAATCAATCAGAATCTTTCCTTTCCTTCCCATTTCATGGAAAAGAAGAATTTTGATTGGTTGATTCGCTTATGCGTTATATGTTATGCAAAAGTCTGTGCTGCGGCGTTTGAGATTGGAGCACAGATTTTTGCATATCATGAGAGAATTGACCAATCAAAATTTTTTCTTTCCGTGAAGGATTTTGATTGGTTAATTTTTCCTATGATGCTTTATCCATTATGCGAAGGTCTCCTGTGCTTCAGTCTTCACTGTCTACGTTTTTTGTATCATAATTTTTATATTCTCTACTATGATTTATCGATTTACTTGCTATTTACGTTTTACTTTCTTACGTTTTTCTTCGATGTTTTTCTTCGTGTCACTGGTTTTAAAAGCAATTGTGTTGCAAACAACTCCACTTCAAGCAGCTAGAAAATATCAGTCGCTATACAATTGTGATTTACGTAATTGTAAATAATCCGATTATTTGTCAATCACGTCGCTAAGCATTTTCACCGGTTAGTCGGTACACAATTGAGTCGAATAGCGTCTTCTGAATAATGCATCTCGCCGAGGGCGTTTATCGAGACCGGAGCGGTGCGGAGGGAGCCCGCTGAAAGTGCAGTCGCGATAAAGTAATTTGCAACAGGCTCGTTTATCAGCGGGGGCTGCGAAGATACCGGGTCGCAAGCCGATCGTAGGCTATACTACTATACGGGTGCGGGTCGTAATCGTGTCAGCTACGATCCCGTTTCTCGACGCGAAACGTTATGTCGCGTTTTGACACGTAATCATCCGTCACTTTGTCTTCTCCATTTCTCTCTCTCTCTCTCTCTCTCTCTCTCTCTCTCTCTCTCCTCTCCTTCGCATCCCCGGAGCCGTCCTTCTCGTGCCACACGTTCACGCACATGTATCGGAGTTTGCGTAACGATACCCTGGCCATTATTACACATTAATGTTGACGTACAAGGTAATATTCGCGTGTTGCACCCGATATTTCGGTAATTAGTCTGCCTGCTCGTCGGCTAATCACGGGAATGCCGCGTGCATGTGCCGCACGGGTGTTCGTGTCTGCAATCGCGATAATGCAATCCGCTGAGCGAACGTGCGTAAGCAGTACTTGTCGGACTTGAGATGCAAATAATAGGAAATAATCTACGCTTAATCAGCCGGCGTTCTTTCGGTGCACGCGCGCGTTAAGAGAGTTATTTTCCGGCGCCCCGCAGTTATACTTCGCGCTCGATTCAAGCTTTTAGCCTACGATCGAGACTTTAATCTATATAATTTAGCGATATCGTAATAACTGATTGAAGCACGTTATATATCGCGTAATAATACGTCTTCTCGCGATTTGTGTAAAAAAACTGTTTATTAGTCGGATAACGATCGTCCTTATTCCGGCGTCGCGTCGGAAAATTGCTGTAGCATTTATCGCCTGTATCGTATCGCAACGATAAAATCACCGTGTCGAGTAAGTTGC